CCTAAACCAACACTGCTGGGTCTCGCTGACCTGGAAACCCGCATTTGTGTAGCATAACAGTGCCATTTGTTGGGGGGAAAGATACCGCGATAGTGCTATCAGGGGTAAATTCTTCCAGAGTGACCACAACACTCAACGCGCACAGGCAGGGTTTGTTTAGGAAAGATTGTGCAGCATGTAAAGAAAACAGCAACGGATCTCAAATGTATAGATGTGATTTGAGATTGTAAACCTCACATTCTTTTTACATGATTTCAGCAGCAGAGCCTCCTCTGCATACACAAACACCCTTCAACTAAATTAATTCACATCACAATCGCTGAGCATTCATAATCATTTAGAGCTCCTGCATCCGCAAAACGTCAGACGGTGAATAATTTTTTTAAGGAAGTTTCAATTATTTCCAGCCCCACTTCAGCATGCATGGCTCAATCAAGTAGAGGAACTCTTGAGACTTGGAGTGAGTCCTCAGCACTATTAGCAGTGTTCAGCTTCGACGGCGAAGAGCCCAGGCCCTCTGAGTTCATTAGCAAATTGCCGTACCCCTCCCTGCGCTCCCTGTGCAAATAAAGGCAATTGGGCAAAAATGACGTGCCGCAGCGGAGAAAGAAAAAAGTCTCCGACTGTAACGAACATCTGCGCCACACCAAACTGAGGCCCAATCAGCAGATCAAGCCTGCCGTATTTCCTCAGCGAGAAGAGCTGAAATGCACGCCACAAAACTCAGAGCTGGCCTCCGAAATAAATCACCCTGCAAGTGTACTGCGAGGTCAAAGTCCATCTAATAGGGCAGAACAAAATCTGCAGTCCAAGTGCTGCGTTTAGGCGTGCAGGGGACCTTTGCAGAAACTGGCAGGGAAAGAGTTAAGAAAGTCCAACTGGTGCTAACCAGTCACTCCACTCACATAGCACCTGAGGGGGGTGCTGCATTTATCAGGCCAGTCTGAACACACACTTGCACACAACAGCGGCGTGCACACAAACACACACACACACACACACACACAC